TCGGTTTAGCGGGATAGTGGAGCGGTTCAAATCTCGATTCTCACTCTTTGAGATCCGCTAGACCCGCCGACCAAAGAATCGAACCGCCTGGATTTATCTTAACTCGGACTGTGACGTTTTTAAATTGAGTTTCACAGCGATGGATATTTTTCCTAGCCTTATCATGTGCTAATGGAAGGACTTACGACTTAACGACAAATATCTGCAAATATATGGTAAGGAACACACATTTTTGGTTATTTAATCGATAAACCAACAGTCCCCTAAATCTGGTTTTCACATGACGTCGCTAAAATTCAAACTACAAAACTATGGATTCTCCTGAGATTTTACTTTCATGATGTATAAGAGCAGCTGAAAATTAATATTCATACAAATTGTCGCTCCAAGTGGGTTCTTGGTTTTGTAATAGACTACGCTAGAATTTCTAAGCTTTTGGGTGACGCGGCGTTTACATGACGGGCAAGAAAGCTGTGATGTTGGTTGAAAGAGTGACTTATTCCGGGGAATTTGGTTATCTGAACAGTTCATGTATTAGAAAAAGTATCATTTTTAAAATGTTTTTGAGTTCCTGGAGAGATAAATTCACGCTTTTGTGGCAAAACTCAGTGACAGATGTTTCTGTTGTTTTCCGGCTGCCATCCCGATGGGCGCCAGCATGGCGTCTCCATCAAAATCTCTATAAATTTGGGCAAAAAATTTCTCTGCATATCTTGCGTAAGAAACATTGCTGTGACCTGAATCTTGGTGAAAGTCTTCCCATATTTACCTTTGTTCTCTTCAAGATTCTGGACTTTATCATTTGAACTGTTTTGATTTTTATTTTGATTTATTTTGAACGGCGTGACACTGAAAACCAACAATAAAGTAATTCGATGCTCGATGCCCGAACGATGTGGCGGCGAATTTCGCGTATAATCCGTCACTGTTTGCTTCATGATACCTCTTTCTACGCCATGCAGTCATGCGAAGACAATTTCAAAGTGCCCATTGCATTCACTTTAAAGAAGAAAGAATCGGTCGTTTTGAAGGTCTTCCACAGTTTAAGTGGAATGGTCTCGGCGAACGAGATGTGATAGGGGAAGGGTTGTTTGAAGCCGTTTTCATCATAAAAACCAGGAACAACGATGGAAAGTCGAAACAGTGGTTGACAGGAAATCACCCACTTTTAAAGATTCCCGCTTAAAAAAGATTCCCCGCTTTTAAATATTCCTCATTTTAAAGATTCTCCATTTTAAAGATTCCCGCTTTTAAAAATTCCCCATTTCAAAAATTCCCGCTTTTAAAGATTCCCCAATTTAAAGATTCCCGCTTTTAAAGATTCCGCATTTTAAAGATTCCCCGTNTTAAAGATTCCCGCTTTTAAAGATTCCGCATTTTAAAGATTCCCCGTTCCCCGTTCCCCGTTCCCCGTTCTCCATTTCAATTCTTCGGTTTCCATTTCCCGATTCCTCGATTCCCCGTTCCCCGTTATAAAGATAGCCGGATTTTCCTTATCAAGTCTCGCACCTTAATTGGGCACCGAGCCCTGTCAATTAACAGCCTGCTATGTAGTATTCCACGAAACTTTTCACGAAAATCCTCTTTAAGAATAGTGTATTATCTCAAGATTTCAGTTAAGAATATTATCTAGGCAGACACTTGAAAAATAAACTTTTAATTTTCACCAAGAAAATGGCCTCTCCAGAGGTTTTATGCATAGTACGTGACATAAGTCGTCTATTAAAGGACGACAGATGACAAACTGGAAAGCAATAAAAGCGTGATAAAAAAAAAAAGATAACCTCCAACTCATTTTCCATACTTTCTGTTTTATCTTCAAATAATTTTTTCCATTGTTATCACTGGCAATTTAATTTCCTGTTATAGTAAAAACGAGGAAAAGTGTTAAATAAAATTTATTAGTTGTGTCTTCGAGCTCTGGCCAAAACCTGGCTAAGTTGAAACAGGTCATAATAAGGTAAACACAAAAACTATTTTCGTCCATGGATCAAGAGTCCTCAGTGTGAAGATAACAGATGACAGTTTGAGTTACACAGTAATTTCTTCATACAAAGATAAGCAAACAACTAAGACAACTCCGTCTCGGCTACCAATCACGAGCCAAAGATTATGGCAGGTATGAATTATATATGACTAGCAAGCTTCAGCTGCAGGGTCCAAACAGAACAGATACGTATACGTCTGAGAGCTATAGCATTTCAACGAGGCTCATCTACAACATGAACAGAAGCAGCGACATTCAACCCAACTGCTTCTTTCTAAGCGTTAATTTGGAACGAACACACAATACCGTAGTGGCAAGTATCCTGACATCTATTCTAAATGTACTGTTTTCTCTGTTAACATCTACCGGTAATGTGATCATCCTCCGTGTCATCTGGAAAAAACAAGAACTTCATTCGCCATCCTTCGTTCTTTTGTCCGGCCTCGCAGCTTCTGATCTCATTGTTGGGCTGGTTTGTCAGCCATCTTTCGTGGCCTATCACATCGCGGAACTCACGGATGATTTTGACGCTTACTGTGCCTTGAGAATTATTCAGAGCATATCTAGCTATACAACAATTGGCGTGTCCTTGGCGACCTTAAGCGGAATCTCCATTGATCGACTTCTCGCTTTAACCCTCCATTTACGATACAACGGGCTTGTCACTATTCGCAAAATAATGCTAACTGCTGTAGTCGTCTGGGTAGTATCAACCTCTGTCGTCCTATTGAGGTTTTGGATAAGCAATTGGTTTTTTGTCCCTGTAGCCGTTCTACTGATAACATTTCTCATTACAGCCCTCAGCACCTGGAAAATATTCCAGATCGTTCGGAGACATCAGCGCCAGATATCTCAGCAACAGCGGATTGCCCAAAGACGTGATGTGAACGTCCTGAAGTCCAGGAAATCGACCATAACTGTACTTTATGTTTATGGTTTGCTTTTACTTTTCTTTTTTCCACTTTTTGTGACGATCTTCGTGGAGTCGTTTACTGGATACACAACTAGAATGAAAATCGTTTATGACTACGTTACTACTGCTGTTTTCATCAATTCCTTCTTGAATCCACTTGTATATTGCTGGAGAATTGGAGAGATACGAAGAGCTGTTAGAAATGCACTGAGGAAAAACAATAACGAAGTCACCATTTTGGAAAGCACATTTCGATCAGTTTCAAAGATATAATTTTGTGCATCAATTGCAAATTTTATGAGTTCTGTGTGGTAAGAAGTATGAAGCAAACTACACTACCATTAATAATTATTCTTAGTCCATTGT